TGAATGTGTGTTGTATAACATGCCTAGAATCCTCTGAAATGCAGGAGTTCTGAGATTGGCAAATTAATGTGGAAAGTGCTTGCTGAAGTTTGAAAAACAGATGGCCTACCTGGTTTGTTATCTTTTCAGCTTGTATCTGGGTAGTTCTTTCCCATATGCTTGGTTCTTCTGTTTAGCATTTTACAGGTAGTTACTAAGTTGCATACAAATTTCTGCAGTGTTCTCTTTTGGATTATCCCAACTCATCTGCATGGTTTCTTTCTCAATCTATTGCCAGTACAAGCTGAGATAAGTACAGTATAATACTGTCCTCCTACAGCTCCAGGAGACTTGTAACCATTCTGTAGGAAGTGCTTTGTTTCTCTAAGCTTTGCAAAACTATTCTTTTTGCTACTAAAATATTATTTTAGAGTCATATGATGAAATTGTGCCAATCCCTATACACATCCCCAATTCTCTCAACAGCAGGCTGGAAACAATCAGTGTAGATGAACTAGAATAATTCAACAGATAGGGTTTTGCCCCAAATTTAGTACAGCTACCTTTCTGTATAATGCTGAAGAGTTTTTGACAGGACTATTTGCCTGTGAAATGATGCCACAATGTCTGCTTGCCTGTTTGACATTCAGAAGGGATTTAGTGGATTTGGAAGTGTTGTTAAGATCCCACAGATGGCATATTCCATGGGAACAAAAGCGTTTCCTAATATAGCTCTACCATGCCCCTCTTGGTCAGCATTGTGTATAGGAGCCCTGTATGAAGGATCTTTAACCCAGGTTTGGGTGTCTGAATTTAAGGGTTCAGGGCCTCGGTATGCATATAATCCAGATCTAAGCAGTCACAAAACATTTTTTTAAAGTCTGAGGGTTTTTATGTTAAAATGGGTGGTCCTTAACTTGATGTTTAGACAATAAAGAACCTTGTAAAGAATTCAGTGATATCTTTCAGGACACTTTCTTCCGATGAAAATGTTATTCTAAGTAAAGTATTCAGTTTTGGTTAATAGAAGGCCATATTAATTTCTTACCCCCCATGTTACATACCACATTCACACATTCCATATTACATGCTGTTATATTTCACTTCATGGATTAAGTATAAAAACACTTCGAGGAAGTATAAAAACACTGCAAGGAAGTTTTTGTCAGGAACTCTCATCATTGCATAGACCTACAGGACTATTGTTACTGCTGTGTTCTTTAATATGATCTATAAGGTATTCTGCCAGCTGTTCAAAAACATTTAAAAAACTGCTGTTCTGTCAATAAGTTATCATTTAAAGGTCTAATAGCAGGTTCTTCTTTCAGTTTTTACCTAACCATATAATCGGTAAAAATACCTTCCTTTTTATTTTTAAAATGTGATGACATGCAGTCATCTGCAGATTTTCCATGTTAAAAAGCCATCTACAAATTACAAATTTCTGTAATCCATGACAGCTGTTCAATGCTTGTAGTCAGACTTACAACCCTGGAGTGATTGTGCAGTTGCAGTACTGACCTGTAGCCTGTCAGATACTTGATTAATTTCTTTGTTTTTATAACCCATACTGGCTATAGGAAGGTTTAATAAACATCAATACATGGCAGCCCTGTCTGTGTGCAGCCTGTGGGTTTTCTGTTTTGATCCATTAGATGAGTGGTAGCTAAACATCTAGCAGAGGTGATAGAGCTAAGTTATTACTAAATATGTTTGGTCCTGCATGACGTGCTGTTCACCATTGTGTCACAAGTGCAGTCGCCTCTGACCTGCATGGTGCTGGTGTATAGGCTTTGTATAATATGTGACCATGCACTCAGTGGTCAATAGTATTTTTTCACAACAGCATGTGACTATCTTTCACAAAACTGTCCCCAAGTCTTTGTCATCGTCTTTCTTGGCTTCCTGAGTGAAGTTTAGAGGGTTTTTGTTTGATTGCTGTGCTTCTGTGTTGTCATCTAAAGGTTATGTTAATTCCATGAAGAAATGTGCAAGAGCACATTCTTAGCATACTGCAGCGGTGAGGTGACATTACAAACCCTTGCTGCAGATTTTTTTACATAAAGAACACCAGCAGCAGCAACCAATTCATTCTCTGCAACACAAATGGAACATAGATATGTACAGGTTGGGGATCCATGAAAACTTGTGGGGGAATCTCGTTTCCCCACTCCTTGATTTTCTTTTCTGTTCTCTGCAGCACCTGCACTCTCTTCTCTGCAAATTCATCCACCTGTCTTTGCTCTCTTCCCTTCTTCTGGAAGCCCCAGTCTCCCCTTTTCTTGTTTCCCACCCACTGACCTGCTTTGTTGTTTCTCCCCAGCTGTTTTTCATCCCCCATCCCAGTCTTCAGCCTTCCCTTTCCCTGTTTGCCCCTCCCCCTAGCTTTTCCCTATCTTTTACCCCTCAAAATGACAAGTTTTCACAGCATAGTCTCACAAGATCTCAGTGAAATACTTGTCTTGAAGAAGCAGAGATTGCTTCTGTGATTTTATTTAGGAAATTGGGGGAGGGATAATTTTGTGTGTGCATATATTTTACATTTAAGATTTTTTTGCAAATTTAACACTTCCCCAGGCTTGTAGAAAAATCCTCCTGTGTATCCCTTGGTCCCTTGTGTGGATTTTTGGTGCATACTGTATGGCTCTGTTCAGAAACAGATATAATAAGTGTATTGGTTAAATGCAATGACAGATAACCAAAGGACATTAGGGGGAAAGTTAGGGCGGGCATAAAATCCTCCTTTACTGATCTTAACAGCGAAATGTTTTTTTTCTCTCCTCCAAAGAACTTACACTGTTTTTTAACTTCACAACAGAGTCGGCAGGGCAGTTGAGGACAGATGGGGTGGTAGACCCAGTGCCATAGAAAGAGCAATGGAGGGGGTCCTGTTTTAAAAGAAAATCAGGTGCACAAGTAGTGGAAGCTGAATCCTGTGTCTGTCTCCCCTGTAGCAGCTCTTTCCAAATGCTTTTCTGTGAGCCAGGGTCACTTGCAATATTGGAGCTCGGTTATGGAAGAAATTATCCTAGAGGGGGCATGGAAAAGAGAGTGCACTTCTCATCCACTTGTTAATTTTGCTTTGCAATCAGGAACATTGCCCCCCCCCCCCACACACACACATGTGACTGGAGCATTTCTGTGTTTATCACATGGAACTGTTCTTGTGTCTTTTTCCATACTGACTTATCTTCTCTGTGAGTGGGGGCTTGAATTTTCTGGATTCAAACCAACACTCTAACTGCTACATTATATTAGCTTTGCAATTTCTTTCTCTAAAATTTAATGGTACATTTCAAGTGTTCCTGGAGGTGCACTTGCTCTTCATCAGAATAGTGAAACTTGAATAACACTGCTTCCAGTGACATCAGCCTAGATATTTTCGGTATAGGTGACATCTGCTTTGTCTTTTTAATAAATCTCAGTAAATAGCTGCCAAGTCTCACTTTGGCAGACTAATAATTTGCATTGAATTCTTGACATAGTGTTTATTTTTCTCTCACCTTTCCTCCAGGGAGTTCAGGGCAGCATTGCTCTGCTTCCCTCAATTTTATCTTTACAATTACACTGTGAGGTAGGCTAGACAGAAAAAGGTCACCAGTGAGTTTTATAGTGAGGGCCTAACTACACAATATGTTGTTTACAGTCCACCCCAGGTTCTGTTGTCCAGATGTGCTCTGAGAGTTCTGCATGATCCATAGGGATTTGGATTGGGACTGTGGTGCTTGGAGAGAGAGGGCTTAAGCCTTCCACCATACCATTTCCCCAACCTGAAATGGCATCTAGGAGCCACTGTTTTCCCTGTGGGGAAAACTTATGTATAACCCATCAGTATATGCTGAACCCGTAAATGATTGTACTGTGTAGCTACGGTAGGTCCTGATTTGGGATTTGAACTCGGGTATCCTGAATCATGGTCCAACAGGAAAGGGGGTATGGCTCAGTGGTACTGCATATAGAAGGTCCCAGGTTCAGTCCCCTGTATCTCCATTTTAAAGGAACAGGTAAGCAGGTAATGAGAAAGACCTCGGCCTGTGACCCTGGAGAGCTGCTGCCAGTCTGAGTAGAAAATACTGACTTTGATGGCCCAAGGGTGTTATTCAGTATAAGGGAGTGTTGTGTGCACTCTAAACACTAGACCGCACTGGCTGTAGTTAGTACTTACTAATTGGTCAACTCAGGATTTGGGGATTCCTTTTTAGAATTTTGTGTTTAATTTCTTCCTTTTCTGACTCTTTGAGGGATTAATTTCACTTTCTGCGTTCATTATTAAGTGGAGAGATTAATATTACATTTCCCTCGGTGTGTTGTTGTGGTGGCTTGTCAGAAGTGTTTTGGAACCATAGTCTGTCTTGCTGTGTTTTTGAACACTTCAACTGTGGGATTATTCAGTCCTATAAGAAAAAGAGGTCTGTAAAATCAGTACCTTGTAAAAAGTCTACTTATTTTATGTAGCTCTTTTGTAGTTATAGCAAGTTCACTTTGAGAAAGTTCATTTTGAGAAAGTTACCCGCTGAAATCCTTAGGGGCACAGTCTAAATTGGAATGAGTGACTGATATTGCAGTCATGTAATGTAATTCTTTTCAGTTTAGCTTGCAGGTCAACACAAAGATCAGACACTGATCAATTTAAGTGCATAGTCTTTACAGCTTTTGTTTTACTGAAATGTAGGGCATTCTTAACACTATAGCATGGGGTGGGGGGTTTAGTATGTTAGAAACACCTTTCCTACTTTGTTGTACAACAGGGAAGAAACTGAAGCAGTTCAGTATCGGTATTACTAAGGATAGATTTTTTAAAAATAGTTTATAAAAGTGCTCCTGATGCCAGTGAGTTTGGAGCCCATGAATCTGTTCCACTTGTGGCTATGCTTTCCCCTGGTGTGTCCTCTGATGCAGGAAGTTCTTCCAGTTTCTTGTACCACAGGAAAATACCATTGTTTCCCCAACAAATGTGCAGTATTCTACCCATGTTACATACTTTGCTACATAAATCTTGTGTTTTCCATCTGGATTTGAAGGAGTGTGGATGCGTGTAATGGAATACTCTACCAAAAGGAACAGAACTATCCTCACAAGCTAGTCAATCAATTGGACACCATTTGTCTTTGAGAACAATACAAAGGAGCTCTTCTAGCAAAAATAAACTGCTTCAGAACATCGTGTAACTCGTGAATGATTGGCTGAGGTAATGCTGAAAAACTCTTTGCTAATGACGTATGATGTAGGGGCCTTGATGTCATAATCCCACTACTCAACAGTCCTCACTGGGTGAAAGGGGAGGAGAAAATACATGGGGCAGAGAGTGACTGGGGTTGCCAATGAGACTACCGACTGGAAAGCTTCTCAGGTAAAAGTTGTATTACATAGTTGATGCTGGACTAGGAATCTACATGGTTGATGGACTAGGATTGTGGGAGTTCTGTAGCCAAGGTATCTAAATTAAATGTGACTATACAGAGCATATGGATGATGATGATGATGCCTCTCTTTTTTTACTGAATTTCCATGGAGTAAAACATTAGGAGAGCAGCAGGTAGGAGGTGAATACAGAGCAACAGGAATTCATAAAGTGAAGGATCTTTCTGCTTTTGAAATTATATATTGAAAAGAAGTGAAATATTTCTGGTTATAGGCTTTCCCAAATTTTGTCAAGGCAGATAATAGTATTATACACATTCAGAAGGTAGGCTTTATACCCACAAAGCATTTAAACTGAATTAGCACCAGATACAAACCCCACCGAAAAATGGGTGCTGGTAGGCTGTCCCCCCCCTCCCACTTCCAATGTGGCCCAAGTTAGGAGAATTAAGTCATTAGGACGACAAAGTGTGAGCCGCCCAGAGACCCCTTCGGGGGTTAGGGCGGGATATCAAGCCTAAGGTTAAATTAAATAAAAAATAAATAAATATTGATGATAAGGAACAAAGCATTTCTACTAGTGTACTTACGATTTGTATATACATGGGCAAGCATTGAAGTTAACTGAATATTGAACTCAGAGTTGAAATAATAGTGACCTGTTAAGATGAATGAAATAAAGCTATATTACTATCCTAAACATAGGGAGATGTCTGGCTGTAAAATTAAATTTACTATTCTTAGGAATAGGTGAACTGCTTTTGGATAGATCTGATTAAGGCTGCAGCCCTAAGACTTACCTGGAAGTAAGTCCCATTGAGTAAAATGGGGCTTACTTCTGAATAAACATGTATAGGAATGCACTGTAACCTTTTTTAAATCTGTAGCTCACTTTTGAATACTAGGAAAATTGAGAAAAGATCCTCAAGTTCTGTCTGTTTCACCTACGCCCAAGAAGTTAATATACTACGCAGCTTAAAGTCTCTACAAGGTTCAAACACTATGATCACACTAAATATTCTTAACTTGTTTCCATATTCAGAACTGAAAGAAAAAAATTGGAAAACCATTTACATTCATTTTGGTTGAAACACTGTTGAATAGCAATGGAAATTGAAAATGAGCAGACAGACAACATCAACTCTACTGGTAAGAAATTTCATATTACTAAAAATAACTCAAAGTGCTGTGGCATTTAAGCCCAGTTTAAATGTTTTGGTTGTCTTGTATGATTGCATAGAAACTGTGTCTTTATAGCACATGGAAGAAGCATAATGTTTGAAGTTCCTTACTTACAAATATTTCTTTGATCATATGGAAAAGTCTCCATGCTAGTGCTAATTTATCCTGGCAGTGGCGGATGCTCACATGGGAAAACTACAGTCAAAGTGATTCACTTGGTAATCAGGTTTCAAATATTATTATTGAACATCTGAAGCTACCTTATGCTGAATCAGAATATTGGTCCATGTCTTCTTTGACTAGAAGCAATTATCCAGTGTCACAGGCAGAGAAAGAGCTGTCTCGACCCCTTCTGAGATCCTTCAGCTGGTAATGCCAGGGATTGAACTTGGGAGATCTTGCACGCATAGCATTTGTGCTGACACAGATCCACCACCACATGAGAGTTTTTATCATATAATGTGTGAATTATAGGCTGACTAGTTTGTGGTGGCATGACCTTTCATAAACAAGAGCCTTCATCAGTTACATAAAATATACTGAGGAAGCAATTGAGGTGATCTCACACAGGGTGAAAGCCATGCTAATAAAGTGAAAGCTGATTATCAAAACTAATTACTGAAGCACTAACAATGAACGTGGTGCATATCCATATGCAGATAATCAGCTTTCTGTAGTTGAAAGAATTTTCTATAATACTATTCATGCCTCAAATGCTAATAACTTTGTGTGCTACTACAATTGTAAAGCATTCTGCTCCAAGTACATAGATTTATATGTTGTGGTGTAAGACTAAAGTTGAATGCGATCTGTGATTATTGTGTTCAAAACTTTTATGACAGAGTTATTTAAACCCAACGGAATGATATATTCCTGGGAAACAATATTATTACAAAGCATTACTTTTGTTGATTTTAGTAACAAAATGATCATAAAGTTTTACTTTCTTTTTACAGTACATGTGCCACTTTACTATGCATTGAGCTGAATCCAGTGTTTTCTAACAGCAGAAGGCATGGAACTTTTTTCACCAGTTCCCTCCACTCTCTGCAGACACTCCCCCTGTTGTGTCTGCAGACCGCCACTGGGCGCCCGCGATACAGCGGAGCTTGAGTCCGGAGAACAATGGGGACCAGGCTCCTGCACCCTGCCACTAGGGGAACCAATGGGACATTGGCGGGAGGTTTGAATGGGCCAATGGGAGGTTCCCCAGACTGTATATAAGCGGACGGTCAGCCATTGGTGGGTGTGCGTGTTGTGTACTAGTAAAGTGTGCAGTGTATCATGCGTGTCTCAGCAGTTCTTCCATGCGGTTAACCCACTACACAACAGTGGCGATGAGGATGGGATTCAGCTGCTAAGTCAGCCGGCCCGCCGGGCGGCGACTAAAAGCACGCCACTCCGCCGCTGACCGATGAGCGAAACAGCAGGAGGAGCAGATTCTGTACCACCAGCCCCGACGTGCACGATGGCAACCGTGTCCGGACCTGGCCTGCTGCCGCCCTTCGACACAGCTCGCCCGCAAGACTGGAGCGCATGGGTACGAGGCGTAAAGTCTGCGCTAGCCTTCTACAGGGTGACGGACAACGCACAAAAGAGAGGCTTCCTCCTCACCTCCTGCGGAACCGCCGTTGTGTCCCTAGCAGAACGATTGCTGTCTCCGATGGACCTCGATGCCTGCTCCTTTGACCAGATTGTCAAGGCGGTGCAAGACCACTATGCTCCGAAGCCATTGGAGATGACCTGTTGGCTGGCGTTCTACAACCGGAGCCAGCTCACCCGGGAGACAGTCGCGGATTTCCTCGTGGAGCTCCGCCATCTGGCCGCAGACTGTAAGTTTGGGGCGAACTTGGACGAGGCCCTTTGGGACTGCTTCGTCGTGGGACTAAGGGAGGAGGAGCTCAAACAGCAGATTATTGAAGCGGAAACCGTCACCCTCGCCTCTGCCCTATCCACCACCATCGCCTGGGAGCGGTCGGACCCCGCCGCGCCCACGGCCCTGCAGATCGAGCCAGACGATCCTGAGGAACAAGAGGTCCACCAAGCATATGCAGGCCCCAAGCATCGCTCTCAAGGGCAAGAAAGACCCCACGCCACAGCTGCGCAAGCTGTGGGGAGAAGCACAAGAGGAAGTCATGCCGGTTCCGCAACGCGATCTGCCGAAACTGCGGCCGGACTGGGCACATCGCTCGCATGTGCTGCTCTAAGGCAAATAAGGCGTAGCCACCCCAGCGGAGACAAGCATCGGCTCACTTCGAGGATGCCGGGCACTCCGAGGACCTCTACCACATCGCCGATCAGGTACTGCGCCTCCCAGGCCAACCCTTGGTCCCCAGAATACAGGTCCAAGTGCAGATAGAAGGGTCCCCCTGTATGATGGAGCTGGATTCGGGCTCCGCGGCCTCCATCATCTCAGAAGCCACCTTAAAAAGACTGTGCCCTAAGGAGGGCCCCCGTTTACGCCCGTCCCCGCTGACTCTCATGGACTTTCAGAGAAATAGTGTGCCCATTGAGGGAGTCGGCAGTTTCTGAGTACAATATAAGGGGTTCAAGGGCTACCTGGACTTAATAGTGGTGAAAGGGGACCTGGTCAGCTTATTGGGCCGAGCCGGTTTCAAAGCCCTGGGCATCACGATTGTGTGCCCCGAACGATTTCCAGGCCATCTGCCAAGAATTTCCCTCTGTTTTCGACGGGGCCCTAGGTAAATATATGGGCCCTCCCTTGCGTTGCAGCTCGACCCCAAAGTAGCCCCCATATGTGCCCTTGTTGGTCAAACCAAAGATAGATGCAGAGTTAGACGCATCGGGGGGGGGGTTAAGGTCAAGCGGCTGCAATTCAGTGTGAGTGTAGCCCTGGGGCTGTTCCAGTATTTAATGGACTCTCTTCTCAAAGGGATTCCCGGAGTCACCCTGTTCTACGACGATGTTTTGATCGCCGCCGCCTCACCACCCGAATTCGCGGACCGACTCCGTGCTGTCCTCCGCCGGTCCCACGACGCTGGGTTGAAGGTCAAGAGGGAGAAGTGCTTGCTGGGGGTGCCATAGATGGACTTCCTGGGGTTCACTGTCGACGCGTCTGGCCTCCACCCCGCCCGCGACAAGGTGAAGGCCATCATGGAGGCGCCGGCACCCAAATCGAAGCCGGAACTCCAGGCGTTCTTAGGGCTCCTGAACTTCTACCACGCCTTTCTCCCCCACAAGGCGGCGGTAGCGGAGCCCCTGCATCGCCTCCTCGATAAACAGACCCCGTGGCAGTGGGGGCCACGGGAGGAGGCGGCGTTCAAAGGGGTCAAGGCTCTGCTCGTCACCAACCCTCGGTTGGCCCACTTCAATGAGAAGCTGCCAGGGGTCCTGGCCTGCGATGCGTCCCCGTATGGTGTGGGTGCCGTGTTGGCGCACCGCCTCCCGGATGGTCAGGAGGTGCCCGTAACATACTATTCACAGACCCTGTCTGCGGTGGAATGGAACTACGCCCAGATAGACCACGAGGGGTTGGCGATCGTGGCGGGCGTGAAGAAATTCCACGACTTCATCTACAGCTGCCACTTCACCATCGTCATGGACCATAAGCCCCTGCTCGGACTTTTCACTACGGACCGCCAGACGCCCCAAGTCCTCTTGCCCCGGGTCTTGCGGTGGTCCGTTTTCCTCGCGGGCTACGAGTTCACGCTGCAGCACCGGCCCGGGAAGGCCATGGGTCACGCCAACACCTTGAGCCCCTTGCCCGTCGTAGAAGAGGATCCGGCGCCGGCCTATGCGATTTTAAAATTGGAGGACCTTCCAGTCGCCCCGCTGCAGGCTGCCGACATTGCCCGATACTCCACCAAGGACCCCATTATCGCCCGTGTTCTCGGTTGGGTGGTGAGGGGGTGGTGAGGGGAGCCAGAGGAGCAGGACTTCGCCGCCTACAAAAGCCGCTGTTACGAACTCTCAGCAGACAAGGGGTGCTTGCTGTGGAGAGATAGGGTGGTGGTACCCCGCGCCCTCTGAAAACAGGTCCTCCGGGACTTGCACGAGGCTCACCCGGGTATTGTTAGAATGAAGGCCCTGGCCCGCAGCTACTTGTGGTGGCCGGGTATCGAGGCGGAGGCCGAAGACCTTGTCAAAGGCTGCCCCACATGCCAAGCGGTCTGCCTCAGTCCCCCGAAGGCGCCCTCGCAATCCTGGGAGGCGACCCGAAGGCCATGGTCGAGGCTGCACATAGACTTTGCGGGGCCCTTCCAAGGACGACTGTTCCTCGTAACCATGGACTCGCACTCCAAGTGGCTGGAAATGAGCATGGTGTCAACAACGTCCACGGCAGCAACAATCCGGGTCCTACGGAAGATATTCGCAACCCACGGCCTACCGGACTCCATAGTGTCCGACAACGGATCAGCATTCATGGCGGAGGAGTTCCAGGTCTTCCTCCGACGGAATCTTATTAAACACATCCATTCGGCACCGTTCCACCCGGCCACCAATGGACAAGCCGAGCAGATGGTGCGATCAGCGAAGGAGGCCTTGAGCAGGATAACAGAAGGGGACTGGGAGTTGCGCATCGCCCGGTATCTGCTGGTGCAGAGGACCACTCCGAACCCAGTGAGCGGCCGCTGCCCAGCCGAACTGCTGATGGGTCGCCGACCAACAACGCTCCTGGACCGCCTCCACCCCGACAGGGCCCCAGAGTCACCCCCCTTGACGGAACAGTGTGAAGCACCTTGGGGGTTCTTTCCGGAGGACCCTGTCTATGTCAGGAACTTCGGCAAGGGGCCAGAGTGGATTCCCGGCCGAATCGTTCGCCCCACAGGCCCCGTCTCCTACGAGGTATTGACGGAAGACGGCCAACTCCTCCGCAAGCATGTAGACCACTTGCGCCAGCGCCGACTGCCACTGCAGGGCGAGGAGCTGGACACACACACCCCGGGGGCGAGTGTTTCTGAAGAGCCGGAGCGGGAGTGGGAACCCCCGCTAGTGGCCCCACCATGCATCGTTCCAGGTCCCGTCATCGAGCAGGAACCTAGAGTGGCGGAGCCCGTGAACTGCCCCGCAACGGCCGTGCCACAACTGGAGTCTGGACAAGCTGCAGGGGCCCGGGATGCGCTCGATCCGCCGCCGGCACAGACGCTTGTCATGGGAACGAAGGCCACCGGCTCACCTCAAAGACTATCAGACTTGGGGGGGGTCCAGACCTTGGGGGGGGGTGTTGTGTCCGTGGACTGCCACTGGGCGCCCGCGATACAGCGGAGCTTGAGTCCAGAGAGCAATGGGGACCAGGCTCCTGCACCCTGCCACTAGGGGAACCAATGGGACATTGGCGGGAGGTTTGAATGGATCAATGGGAGGTTCCCCAGACTGTATATAAGCGGCCGGTCGGCCGTTGGTGGGTGTGCGTGTTGTGTACTAGTAAAGTGTGCAGTGTATCATGCGTGTCTCAGCAATTCTTCCATGCTGTTAACCCACTACACAACACACACACACCTCCCCCAGATTACTCTGTCCTGTTCATTAGGGTCCACAGGAGCAGCATGTGGGAAACTTCAGTGAGACTATACCAGAAGAGTGGAGGCATGAAAGTTCTGTTCAGCTGGTAGAATGCTTTCCCTTGGCAGAAAACGATCTTGGAATGCAGCTCATGCGGTCCAAAGTAATGCTCAGTAAAAATTATTTAAACCACAAAGTATCTTTAAAATATCCAAAGTATAGTAATAAAATCCCACCATCATCTTGTATCACAAGGCAATAATCACAAAAATAGACAAAAACACTACTTTTCAGAGGTACCCTGACAGACTGCCTGAAACTATGCTTTGTGTATACTTCACAGAACTCATTTAAGCCGTATTACAAAACAAAATCTTCATGGTTGTAGCTAAGGATGTAACTAAGGAACTGGCTCAAGAACAGAAATTTAGGCCAAACTTGGGCTGGTTCGGAGCTCGGGGACCGCTGTTTGAGAAAGGCACCAGTCCCGAACATTTACCAGACTTTTGGCTGGTTTGGTTCAGCTGTTCGGGGCCAGCCATTTAAACCTAACAGCTGACCAGTGAACCCTCGGTTTTGCTCCCCCCTTCAAAGGGGGGAAGCTAAAATGACGACTTAAATAGGTGTGAGCCATTAAATCCTTCTGCTTTGCTCCCCCTGTCCTTTTGAAGCGACCAGAAGCACAACTGAATGGTTAAATGGATAGCAGCCATTCAACCCTTCCCATGCGATCCCCACTCCCTTTCTCTCAGCCGCAGCTCATTGCAGCCAGGAGAAGGGTGAAATAAAAGTCCCTTCCAGGGTGGTCTCCACCCCCTTTCTCCCAGCCACGGCTCACCACAGCTGGGAGAAAGGGGGAACTGAACTCGCTCAGTTTGGGGTGGGGCCTTTTTGGCTTAGTTCGGGGTTTGGCTCATGGTCCACCCCAAACTGCCCTTTTTAGGTTTGTGCCCATCCCTAATTGTAATTACATATTTTAAGACTGCACTTGTTTCATTGCACTGTATGGTTAGAGTTTAGTAGTGCAAAAAAGAAAGTCCTACTATAAAATCTACTACTGTGGTAGTTTTGTCAAGTGACTTTTGTAGCTATTGGTGAACCTTCTCTTCTATCTTTTCCCTCTTCTCACTTCCCCCTCCCGTTAATTTTGCTGATAGGACATGAGGGTTTTCATCTGCCACTATGGAATGCTTGGAATGTTGTAATTTGCATCACTTTTAAATAACTGCTTCAGTCAATAACAACACTTTTTTGTCTTTGTTGTCTTTAAGAACTGGAAAATCTAAGTGACGCTCCATTTTCTGGTGATGAAGAAAATGGTGGAACTGAGGAAATGAAAACTGAAATCAATGGTATCTGGATCCCTGCAACGTCAATTAACGAAGCTAAAATCAGTGCTAGAGCAAAAAGGAGGCTAAGAAAAAATTCTTCCAGAGATTCTGGAAGAGGAGATTCTGTGAGTGACAATGGAGAGGCACTAAAAAGTGGAATTACTGTGCCAACAAGTCCAAAGGGGAAGTGTCTGGATAGACGATCTCGATCGGGAAAGGGTAGAGGCCTCCCAAAGAAAGGTTGGTGCATTCTGAATTCACAGCAAACCAAAATAATATGTTTGAAATTTAATAACTTTGAGTTGGGTCTTTTTTTTCCTATCTAGAGTGCAGTTTGTTTCATATTTATTTACATTGAGAGGATTGACATGGTGGAGGTTTGCGGTGGTGGTAGTCACTAAAAAATTCCAATGAAAGATATTTTTTTCTTTTGGAATAAGTGAAATGTGCTGAGAGAGTAGGGTGCAATCGTTTGCAGTTAGTATTGAGTATATTTTGCAGTTCTGCTTGTAGAAACTAAGGCATTTATAGTTTTAAATTTTATTTTATAAATATGCCAATTAATATAATTTTATATTCTTACTGAGTTAGAAATTTAGCCTTTTAAATTATTAAAGCAGCAATGTTGGCTCAGGTTTGATAAGACAAGTAAGTAGTGCATGTATTTCAGTTCTCCTTAAAATTTCTGTTCTTACCCCCAAAAAAATGCCCCCCCCCAATTGCTTCTAAACTCCCAGAAATTTATATCTCTAGGGCAATTACACATAAAGCATGTTGAAGTTACAGAGATATGGATAAGCAAGGCAAGGTCAGTCCTGCCTAGAAAATGTATTACTTTACAAATCTGATGGGAATGAAGAAAGGACTTATGCCATTCTCTTTCTTGAATAATAAGGCTGGGTCTAGAATCCGGTTGTGTGTAACGGTGGCAGAACACCAGCTCTCTATCTTGTCTGGATTTGGTTTCTCCTTGTTCTCCCTCATCCACAGCAGTGAGGCAGTGATTCAGAACAGAGAGAGATGCTTCTGGGAGTATAATTAAAAATACATATAGCTGAGTGCAAGCAATATATTTAAAATACCCAACTCCAGAGCTCTGGTTTATTTTATTCAGCAGCCTGACATAAATATTAAAAGCATGGGAGATAGGGTAGAACCTGCTGGTCTCCATACTTCAGGCCCACATGGAAGACTCCATCTCTCCAGTGGAAACACTGCATCTTCTAAAAAAACGAAGAGCTGAAACCCTTGGAGAGTAGTCCCTGATATCTTTAGCATGTTTTCCCAAGTCTCCCAAAAGAGATGGAAGACTGTAGACAAATCCAAAAGGATAAATAGGGATGGGTTTCCTTGTCTAATTGTCAGACTAGGATCCCAAAGACCCAGGTTTAAATCCCTATTCTGCTATGGAAGACCTCAGCATAAAGCTCACTGGTGACTTTGGGCCAGTCACAAACTCTCAGCCTAACAATGAAGAAGGGGAGAAAAGCAGGGTATAAATGGAATAAATAATTGAAAATGATCATCCACCAGAATGAATACTGCACTGTCTTTGTCCAGTTCTAGTCCGGCTTTCATTTTTTCCCTCTTAAACATTTTTTTAAGGTGGTGCAGGAGGCAAAGGTGTTTGGGGAACACCTGGACAAGTATATGATGTAGAGGAAGTGGATATTAAAGATCCCAACTATGATGATGACCAGGTAGGAAAATTCTTACTGTGCTGTATAAACTGACCTTGTTTATGTAATTTAGCCTTGTAATTAGAACCTGATCAGGCGGCTAGAGGTAAGGAGCAGTCTCATATATTCTCCAACGACTATGCAGAGCTATGTGAACAGCTGCCGTGGCAGTGACTTATGTTTACATAAAGCTGCTTTATGACTATTATGTGCATAATTGCTCTTGCTCTGTCTTTAAGAGATTAGACAGGAAACAATAGGACCCATGTGTGTAATTTCCACAATACTCTATAATATAACATATATACTGTTCATAATGTCATAACTGTTAAAAAGTGATGGCACTGTAGTAGTTGTACATGTTGCTCTGCTGATGGACCAGGTTCCACGCAGGCACCCTGGATAACGACACAGGTGGAACTAGGGATGCCAGCCTCCATGTGGGACCTGGGGAATCTCCCGGTATTGCAGTTCATCTCCGGACTACAGGGATATATTCCCATGGAGAAAATGCACACTTCGGGGGCGGACTCTATAGTATTGTACCCCATTGAAGTCCCTGTCCTCCCCAGACTCCATCCCCAGATCTCCAGGAGTTTCCTAACTTGGATCTGGCAACCCTAGGTGGGACCATAAGTGGCTATATCCAGGAGCAAGGAACATTGGAGTGCTTGCAAAAGAGTAAGAAGAACAAAACCAGTGAGCAGAGCAGGGACTGGAGGAGCTGGCGCTTCCAGCCCTTGAAGAATTAGTCAGAAGCTCTGGTATTATCCTGGAGATTGCACTTGGCTTACTTGAGTCTTGATGAAACTTACTCTTGCATATTAATATTTCTTCTGAGAAAAATGTGGACGGTATAAATGTTTCATCAGTGGAACTTCACAGGCTGCTTCAAATTTAGTTGCATTATCTTGTATTGAGATAACTTGTGGCTAAATTTACTCGGCTTAAAACCTAGTGATTGCATGTTGAGCATCTTATGGTCAGGAATGAGCTCCATATGTTCAGGGACTTCCATTTTGCTAAGGAGGGGAATGCTCAAGTGCACCGTGGATAATTCCCATGTGTGAGGAATTCCACAAGAGATAACTGTGTACAGCGCAGTAAAGTGTCCAGTGGTGCCCTAAATTCATAGAGTATAACAAGCCCCTTTCTGTACAGACCTTTGATTCAAATGCGAGAATGAAAGTCACTTGTGTCCTGTTCTCCCTTGCAAGGAATTTCTTGGAAAGCACAAAAAGCTACCTGCCTTTGGAGTTTAACAGTGAAGTTTAGGAAATGAGATGAAGGCATATGTAATATAACTGAAAGGCTCATCATGTGGTGCTCGGTGATTATGAGACTGCATTCACAGTTGACTTGTCCGATGGGTAAAGCAGCAGTTTTTCTGCTTGAAGTCCCTCTTGCCTGCTGCTTAGGCATATTGTTTGCCCATCTTGGTTCCCTCCTCCATGGGAAAGTTAATAAAGGGCTTTGTGGTTGAGCACTAGATGGGTCACACTACTTTTTCATGTTGGCTACCTACTGGCTTTTTGTTATCTTCATTCAAGTAGAAAAGATGAGAGTTGTGGGTAAGTGCTAAGACCAGTGATTGGAGGGAGAGGAAGGTCTGAAAAACTTGAAACTGTGTTTGAGTTGCTTCTTTGCTTGTCTGACAGGTGAATTGTAAATGAGGAACTGCTGGAAACACACTGTGTAAGATGTTGAGTCCATCTTCAGCCATAACTGCAGCTGTTCAGTACAGCTGGATACCCTTCCTCATTGGCCATAATAAGTAGTTATAACTATGACCTGTAATAACATTGCAAGGGCATCACTGCTAACCATCTGGCTGCCAGTACTGAAATGATGGTTGGAATCCCTGAAAAGTGTAGTTTCCAGTGGAGCCATGCTTAAGAATGACTTAGTGTTAATTCTTTTTTTAAATGTATTAATTTCTGTCTTTTTTTAAAACAGGAAAACTGTGTCTATGAAACTGTAGTGCTGCCTTTGGACGAAAAAGCATTTGAGAAAACATTAACTCCAATAATCCAGGAGTATTTTGAACATGGGGATACTAATGAAGTTGCAGTATGTCTTGTATTGTGCATTGTTTGAAATCGTAGGCAATGATTAACAGGATTTACTATGCAATGCTAAGAACGTTTTCCTATGAGTAAGCCCCATTGATTAGGCCTGAATAGGATTTTGAATAGATTTAGGATTGCTCTCTTGCATAACTCTTTGAGGGGGCACTTAGGCCCAGTCCTGTAGCCAGAAAAGTTTTGGTGGGGGTCAGGTGGAGGGGCAGACCAGAAGCAGCAGAGTGACTTCCCTTTCCTTCCCTAGCCTCCCACCGCTACGGGCTGGGGGAGGAAAGAGAGAGAGAGAGAAGGCATGTCTTCTTTCTTTCCCCCCCCCCCCCCCATGGTGGGGAGACTGGAGAAGGAAAAGGAAGCTGCTCTCCTGCTTCTGGTCAGTCTCACTAATTGTGGAGTTTAACAGCTGATTCCCGGGGAGTGAAACTGACCAGAAGCGGCAGGGCAGCTTCCTTGGAAGAGCTGGCAAGACTGCAGAGAGGCAGGGGTAAGGGGTGTGGCACATTGGGGGTGGGGAGCTCATCCGTGGTGGGGCTCTGCCCCCAAATGCCCCACCGTGGCTACGGGCCTGTTTAGGCCCATGATGTTCCTTTTATAAGTTCCCTCTTTTTAATAGTTTCTAGAACAGAGTTCCATTATACTACAAAAAACTGGTATAAAATGCAAAGGTAGATCACAATGACATCTCCTACTAGATCAGCTTATTGATAGACCTACAGACATATAGGGAGCTTACAAGCTTCAAATGTCTCTTCAGGGACAGTTAGACCAAAATACAAATCACAATAGGTGTCAGGCAACTTAATGATTGAATTAAAAACTCTGTGCAAGCCTCTTATTTACACAGAAATAAACCACATTGACTTCAATAGTAACTGAATGCCAAGTCAGGTTATATAGGAGTGCAATCTTAAAGACAGTTTGAAGACAATGTGATCAATATCAACATTCTGTCATTACTGTTCTGTAAGAGTTTTATATCATAACTTTAAAAAAAGCACAGTAGGATTAGAATCTAGACTGTGACCTTCCATATTGGAGTTCCAAAGAATTTTTAGAAAAATTGTAAGTCTCTTTTTGCCAGGAGTTCACTTAATTTGAAAACATCTGTATTTTACACTGGTTCACTAGCAGAGCTGTACTTCACGCTTGTTTGATTCGCCACCCTGTGTTCAGGGCAAGACACAAAGAGGACAATACTTTGAAATAAAATGCATTGGATTTTACTTCTCATAGGAGATGATGAAAGATCTCAATCTTGGAGGAATGAAATACAGTGTACCAGTGCTGGCAGTATCATTGGCATTAGAGGGGAAAGCTAGCCACCGAGAGATGACCTCCAAGCTCCTAGCTGACCTGTGTGGGAAAGTAGTTGACAAAAAAGATGTGGAAAAGTCATTTGACAGGCTTCTCAGAGACTTGCCGGAATTGGTTTTGGACACTCCTAGAGCACCACAGGTTTGTTTAAAATATGTGTTGCTAGTAATAATTTTGTTTTAACACTTATCAAAGCACTTCATAGCACAGATATGCCTGGTACAATCATCTATATACCTAATAGTAAAGTTGCCCCCAGAGTGCGGATCGCTAAATCTGCGCTCCGGGGGCACTTGGGGGGGGGAGGTTTGTGCACTCTTGGGGCAGTCCCCAGGGGTGCACAAAAATCTAAAAACTAAAAAAAAATATCGGGGGGGATGTTTAAATCCCCCCGAAAGTGAAAGAGCGTTCGTGCGCATGCGCACGAACGCTCTGTAGCCGACCTTGCCGCCGCCG